GCGTAACATGTCCTTAGTTACACAAGAGGGTTAAGAGCATGTTAACATACTAAACAACTAAATTGCATGAACATTGACAAAATAACAGACCTCTTGGTGGAAATTGTGTTGAAACTCCTTGGGAAATTTCTGCTCTCTGAGGTCGGTCCAACCCTGTGCAGTGAAAGGACGTGTTACAGTAATGACAGAGCTGAAAAATCTGCTCCATCATGCTCTGATGAACTGACATAGTTTCAAGACTTACAGTTAGCAAAATGTGGAATCGTAGCTAGAAAACTCACCTTGGCCCTTTCATAACGGGTGGACATTTTCCAGAGGAGTTCAAAGTATATCAACCCCAAAGAAAAGATATCAACTTTTCGGCCACAAGGCTTTTGCCTTTTCTGTTTTGATACAATACAAACACAATATTGAGGCAAGATGCAGCTGTACAGTATATATCTTAAAGGTGGGGTAGATAAGTTTGAGAAACCGGCTCGAGATACACTTTGTTATATTCCAAGGAATGCTCTTAACATCCCGATAGTAAGGAATATGTTAAGTGCTTTGACAAAAAAAAAAATCCATAAAAATATTTCATCTGTGGAAGCCGTGGCGCTGTAAAAAGCACGACCAATCATCTGAGCCGGCCCGGCTAAAGTAACTGGATGACCTACCTGCCTGTCAGCCTTCCATCTGTGCACAAACTTATCTCGTGCCCTCATTGGTCATGTGCGTGTTTGTGGAGGGGCTCTGTAAGGAACTGGCAGATTTTTTTCCGGTTGTGTATTTTCAAATTCTAGCGCACTCAAGCTGGTTTCTCCAAAATTACCTACCCCACCTTTAAGTTTACATTTAAAATGTGCGAGAAATAAATCTGAAATTAGTGATAGGGTTTTTATTTTTTAAATTGTCAAGCAACCACATCATCAAATTTGCACGGTTGTATCAACCTAGTCCAGGGGTCGGCAACCCGCGGCTCTCGAGCCCTCTGCTCTGGCTCCCTTGAGCTTAGACACAAATAAGAAGGAAATAAAATAAAAGTATTGGTAGGACTATTTATATTTTGTTGCATGGTTGAAAATGTTTCGTATCTTGTATTTTGAGGTGATACTGTAACACATAAATAAAAAACAAAACTGTTTTAATTAGGTCAACTAAAAGATGTGTCATGTCCTGCTACGTTCCCGCGCCAGCGCCTTTTCTTGCAGGCGAATAACCTGACCCCCGGCTCGATGAGCGAACTATGGATAAATCAGAGAATACAAATATCGGAGGAACACAGGATTTAATTCTGCGTGGACAGAGTTATCTGCTTTCACAGCAAGCGATGCTGGTTTACCGGTATGTTTGATGTGTAGAGAGAAGTTGTCAAAGGTGCTGCAGCCTTTACGTATTGGAGGGAAAACACGGAAGAGGAAGACAGCTGACGATCTTCAGTTATAATTCAATCAGTTAACTATTTTTAGGGTGCAGCTATATGTTTTATTTATTTCAAAGTGGGCCCATTTTAATTATATATTTTTTCCTTCAAATGTGCAGAGGACTCCCCAAGTGCTGTGTTTAATTTATTTTAAAGTACGCCTGTGTATATTTTTTTATTCTTGGAAAAAGGAGCAAAATGGCTCTTTTGGTCAAAAAGGTTGCAGACCCCTGACCTAGTCAGACTACAGACATCACCACTTGCCATTTAATGGCCAGCACTGGAATTTAATCTTGAACATTTTGAGTTTTTTCTCTTCAATTTTCCTACAAAACTGGCTATAACCAACATTTGGTAAAATCTTCCCAGCTCTCCCTTTGACATTTTGTCAGTACAGAACATCTCACCTGCTCAGGAGCCATGTATGAAGGGGTTCCTTTGTACATCGATCTCCCCCTCAGGTTCTCAGGATCGTTGTCAAGTGTGACCATACCAAAGTCTACGATCTTCACTTTTCCATCTTGCCCAATCATGATGTTTTCAGGCTAAACACGGGAAATAAATGAACAAACGTGTATGTTGTGTCTCAATATGCCTACCTTTGGATTTACACTTGCTTTTTTGAATACATGAATGGGTTAAAACTGAGAAGTATGGAAACATGCAGTGCACTACAAGAACCAGGATGGGGCAACCTCAACAACACAGCATAATACAAATAAAAGTTATACATGTGGGCTTATTAGACTATCTTATACAGTATATGCACCTCTACACTTCTCAAAGCAGCCACCAGTGATATTATTGGGTTATACAGCAGACTGACTGCAAAAACGACAACATTGCTAGACAGCGAGAATTGACACTTTCTCAGCCGTTTGCAGTTTTCACATTATACGACACATAGCAGTTTACTAAAGTAAGTGTCTTAATTGAGAACAAGCCGTTTTCATGATCGACGTGGTGTAATACACTTTTTTCCCTCCACTTTCTCATACCTTCAGGTCCCTGTGGATGAGCATCTTAGAGTGAATGTACTCCACTCCTTTGACTGTTTGCTGAAACTTAGTAAGAGCCTCTTCTCTTCTCTTGGGGTCCAGCAGAGATTTCTTGTCATTGTTCTCGTCTATCCACACTCTCAGTGATTTTACACACAACTCAGTCAGAATATATAGGTAGTGGTTCCCGATCGCTGAATTGATAGAACTCCTGGAGGAGAAAGAAAAGACAAATGAAGAAGTGCATACCTCAAGTACGTATCTTTATTGGATATCGGATTGTCACTTACTGTGTAGAACTGCCACTCTCATCTGGACTGTATCCTGAATCCTCAAACCAACTGATGAGGTATTGCACAATGTTATGGTGATCGAGGTCTGACAATGTCTTCACCTCTTGCAGAGCTTCTTCAATCCTAAGGAGAAGAAAACAGCTCAGCTGAAACTTTACTTTTTTTGCACATCATCTTTAAAATGTTATATTGCACTAGGAAAATTCTAATAAAAAAACATGGAACGTAATTTAATGTTTGACTTACTCTCCACTTCCACATTGTACAATCTTTATTGCACGATACTTCTCAGTCAGTTTTTCTCTTGCCTTCAAAACTTGACCATAGGATCCACTGCCGATCTTCTCTATGCAGTCAAAGTCTGATGTAAACCTATTGAAAGAAAGTAAAGTATTTAATATTGTATATTCATTGTATAAACAGCCAAAGAAAACTATACCTTAATGTTAGAATTTTCCATACCTTGACATTTCTGATTTGGTTGATGTCTTATCATTGGGACAGTTTCCTGTTTTCACTTCCTGATTTTCTGATTTAGAACTTAGATCATAGAAAAAACGGTTCATTAATCTTTAAAATGGTTCACTATACCCCAGTGCTGCTTTGCTAGTCATCTTGGAAACCTTTTGCGATTCTAACAAGATATAAATCAAATGAAAAGCACCAATATTATAATTTTGTGAAACCATACAGTATGTACTGCAGCCTTCAAGGTGATTTACCGTGTTTTGGGCCTCACAACAGGATCTTTTTCCTTAAAAAAAAAAGAAAGGAAATATAGATGTTGATGCCAGTCAAATTAAAGCAGCATTTACATAGACGTATCAAATTGTTTAACATCTCGCTACGGTAAATAGAAAGTTAACTTACTGATAAGAATTACCCAAAACGTACATTTTGTGTTTCATTTTTTGGGGATTATTTCCACCGATAACGGGCCAGGACCACATGATAATACATCCTTGAATAAAAAGGAGAGTGTCTAAGACATCAAGTTAAGTTGGCAGCTCTTTCTAGTTACAGAAAAAAGGGTGTTCTTACAGTTTACCAGTATTCCATGTCTTTGTACAGATATGAACCCTTTTGGAGCCTTGACTCAACTCAGGTTCTCTGAAGATAATCTGAGAACTATATTATTGATATTCCCTTGCAGAACCCTAGAGATTAAGGATGAAAAAATGAATGACCTCATTCTCGGTAGGTCTTGATGAATTGGTGAAGTCAGTCATTGGCACGCTTTTTGATTTTGCATCACAGGAGTCCCTTGGAGAATACAAACGGAGACATTAGTAACGTATCGTGTTTTGATTAATTTAAGTTAATGTTATCATTAGTCAGTGACTTGCAGTGTAGTTGGTGGTCTGGCTGCAGCAACGTCATCATTCCCGGAGGAGGTCTAGAAAGAAAATATAAAGGCAGTTAATCATAAGTCTCTTTAAGTTATAATTTGCCCCAAAGTTGTCATGCTGGCTTCCTTTTTGCTGTGACCCTGAGGTTTCTTCCCTTGTGTAACACGTCTGTTGTTCCTGTGTACGTTAGCATTTGACAGGCAGTAGGGAGCTACTGTGACCATTGTCCGGTTTCATAAAATGTAATGTGTATTTAGTTTCCTGATTCCTTTATAAATCCCCTGTGTTTCTTTGTACTCATGATCAGATCCCAGTAGCACACGCTGGGGCGGGGATCTGTCCTTTCAGCAGAAATTGATCCGTTAAATGCTTTTAGACTTGATCAAATAACACAACTTCATTTTTGCTTCTATATTTGGTAATTTCTCAGCAGAAGGTGATTATGTTGTGGAATTTCCAAATTACACAGAATGTGAAATTAGCTTTTTAGGCCATGATTGAATTCATGCATATTTATGCGCAATCGTGGGAGTTGTGTTTGGAGCCCAAATGGGCAGCACATTTTGAGTTGATTGTGATTTTTTAAAAAGGGGAAGTCAATGTTAGAATTCAACCCAGTCTCACTGCATTTCGTGTTATAGTCACGACATTTAATCTATTGATTCGTGTTAACCAACACGATTTCCCCCTTTTTTTCGTGTTACACAGAACGATTTTAAAAGCAACGTATTTCTATTGGTAGTGTGTTTCGTGCCTGCAACACGTCTTTTTGTCCGGCCGGGTCTTGGAAGACCGGAAGCTGTGGGGTTCATAAAAACATGTTCTTACTCAAAATCAAGCCACGATTATTGTTTTTATTTGAAAAATTGTATAATGTCGGACTTTTTTTGCCGTCTGTGAGGAAAAGAAATGTCGCTCGGAGCCTCAGAATACCGAAATCTGTATTTTTGAAATATTTTTTTCCCTTCTAATTTGTTATTCTTTTCTAAATAACACACTGTTATTTGCTCAACAATAACACACAATTATCCTTGTTTTTATTTATTTCTTTAATTCCATAATCTGTGGCTTTTTTGGCGTCCGTCAGGAACTGAATTTCAAAATAAAAATAACCGGAAACAGACGTAGGCCTATAAGGGACATTTCGAGCATCATTGCGATACACAGCCACTGAACTGATTACCCAAGATCCTCAGATATGGTTTAAGCTCAGTGATTGGATGTTTTAGCTGCAATGCACGTTGGGATATGGTGTTAATGAAATATGAAATCCGAAAAACATTTTGGAGTTTACGATGGCCGAAGACACAACACTACCCATAATCCCCAGCCACCGTGATTAATCTTCAAGCTCTGGGATTGGATGTTGGAGTGGCAGTGCGCCAAGGTTACGCCGGGCATCAAACAGCACTTTGAAATGGAACGAAACCACGGCG